TTGTGCTGTTAACTGCATTCAATCTGGATTGAACCCTGACCTACTACCTACAGGGTCATACATACTGGGTGGGTTTGATCATAGCTGCATCCCATGATCGCCTGTGGCCTTATCTAAAAGTGAGGATGAGGATGATGATGATGATGATGATGATGATGATGATGATGATGAGGTTGTGTGGGGAACAAAGAAGGATTGGCTAGGAAGCATCATAGAATGTTCTCCTTTGCTGGGTGGGTTGGGGCAATATCACCTATTGCAGGAAATAAGGATTTTAATGACTTAATCTAATCAAAACATTTATGCTCACTTACCAGTCCAGGGGCATTGGGGAACTCAGGACCTTTCCCCTTCATGGCTCCACCATCCCTGAAGGATTGAATCCTCTGCACTCAGGCAGAACTGTTGGCAAGAATAGTCACCTGCCTCTGTGTCTTCCCCCCACAGGGGACCGAGAAACAGCCACTTCTCAGGGATTCCTCCAGCCTGTGGAAGGGGGTGCATACCTTTTGGGGAACTGTCAGTCATCTCTGCACATTCGCAACTCTGAGGATGTCTTGGGATGTTAAGTCAGTAGCTGGCAGTTAGGAGTGGAGGTAGCTGCTAGCCAGGGAAGGGCCAGACCAGAGGGAAACTGACTCCAGGTGGCATGAGAATAGTAGGAAGAGTGCTATTAGCCAGGGACTAGTGAGCTGCCCCAGGAGCCGGGTAAGCTGGCTCCAGGAGGGGGCACCTCCTCACTGGTCTGTGTGCAGGGCTCCTTCTGAACTCTGCCCCCATGTCTGCACTAGCTGTGTGGTTCAGACAAGTGACCTGATTTCTTTGAGAGACATTCTCTTCTCCATAAAGTAGAGATAAATTCGTCCTGAGAACAAAAAGCAAGAATGTATGGAAAATGCTAAGCCCAGTGATATGTTGTTTCATGATAAGGATTTTGCAGAGTAAGGGTCAGCAAATGAGCATTCAGGGCAGGAGTTACAGGAAGGGCAATATATCATGGCCCTCTTCTCAGAATCCTTCATGAGGCTCCGTTCCAGGAAACTCAGACCAATCAGCCCAAGTGAGCAGATGAGATGATAACTCTTTTCCTTCCAAGGGTCAGGCCCTGAGCTTCTTCATCTCTATATTCTGGTGGCATATGGAAGGCTTGGCACACAGTAAGCCTTTAACAAATGTTTGTGTGCTTAAGTAGAACCTGCTATGGGTCCCTCCCAAGGAACAAAAGCATTGAACGTGGAGGTAATGTTGAAGATTATTCTGGCACTTGTTAAAATGGTAAGGAAAAAATTCAAGGTGTCTGCCACAGGTTCAAAGACTAGGACAAGGTCAGCTCCTGGTACAAGGACAAGTAAAGATTTATAGCTAATAGGGCATTATGTAAAAATGTGGATGTGTAACAGATGTGATTCTGCAATCTGTATTTGAGATAAAAATGGGAGTTCATAACCAACTTGAATCTAATGTATGAAACATGATATGTCAAGAGCTTTGTAATGTTTTGAACAACCAATAAAAAAAATAATAAAAACAAAAAACAACAAAAAAAAAGATTTATAGCTAAGGAACAGGTTAGGTGAGCGGGTGGAAAATTACCAACAGTAGACATCAAGTATAGGGGGATTCTGTCTAAACCAACTTAATTGGATTCTTATCGAGGTCAGGACAGGGTGGTAAGATATCAAGGGTGAGGAAGGAGCCGGGTGCAAGGGCACAAGCCTGTAATCTCAGCAGCTCAGGAGGCTGAGGCGGAAGGATCACGAGTTCAAAGCCAGCCTCAGCAACTTAGTGAGGCCTTAAGCAACTCAGTGAGACCCTAAGCAACTCAGTGAGACCCTGTCTCTAAATAAAATACAAAAAAAGGGGGGGGGGCTGGGGATATGGATCAGTGGTTAAGCACCCCTGGGTTCAGAATTTGATTAGATGTCAAGGATGGGGGATTCTTCCTAAGGTGACTTTTCAGGATTCTTGCTATAATTGGATACTGCCAGGGAGGACACAGAAGTCCAAGTTCAAGGTCTAGTCGAGCAGAGGAAAGAGGAGCCCAGCTAAAGTCTGGCCAAGGGGAGTCTTTCATAGCTGTCGGGGAGAAGTCGGGTCCTCAAACCTACTCCTGGGACTACCAAAGTTTTGGGATGGGACAACAGATTTGAGACCCCAGGCTCTGCCCGCAAACAAGCAGACATCTTTGCCTCTGGACCTCTGGGAAGGGTGCCTGTGTTATCTAGGCCTCCCAAAATCTCTCTGTGGGGTAGTGACGGGAAACCTGGCAGGAGGAAGATGCAGAGCAGAATCCACATTGGCCCCAATCTGCAGCCAACTGGAGTGGAGGTAGCTGCTGGCCCGGGAAGGGCGAGTGGCAGCAGCAGGGGCAAATTTTCTGGAGCAGTGCCCAGGGAGGCAGTATTCCAGAAGCAGTATTCTGGCCTAGTTGATAAATCCCAGACCTGCAATTAAGACAAAATACTGTGAATATGACACCTGGAGACAGCTGCAGGAAGGCCCCAGAAACTTTGATTATGAATTAGATTTTGCAGGCAGCTCTGCCGTGGCAAGCTGGTGCCTGGGCCAAGGCACCTGGGGGAACTGGAGGCCAAAGATTGCTCAGCAGGACGAAGAGGAGAGATCCTCCATTGCATCGAGGACCCTTAGGCAGGGCCATTATGTTTCAGGAATCACAGAAAAGCTGGAAAGGGCACAGAGCTCATCTGGTGCACGCTGCTCCCTGTTGACATCTGGAAAATTTGAGGCCCAAAGGGGATGCAAGTTACTGCCAGGGCTGGAGAACAGGGTTCCTGACTCCCAGGTTGAGAGGCAGCTGAAAGGTCTAGTATACACACAGGCATTTGATCTAAGGAAATTCAACTGTTGGTGCTGGGAAGACAGAGGACATAGAGAACAAGACTTAGCAAAAAAAAAAAAAAAAAAGCAGCCACAGTAGAGAGGAGGAGAAGAGAGGGAGACTGGAAGAGACACCCATGAGCTTCAGTAATTAGGTTCAAACTAGAGGTTCAGCCAGGCGCAGTGGCACAGGCCTGTGATCCCAGCAACTTGGGAGGCTGAGGCAGGAGGATTGTGAGTTCAAAGCCAGCCTCAACAACTTAGCGAGACCCTAAGCAACTCAGTGAGACTCTGTCTCTAAATAAAATATAAAAGAGGGCTGGGGGGCTGGGGATGTGGCTCAAGTGGTAGCGCACTCGCCTGGCATGCGTGCGGCCCGGGTTCGATCCTCAGCACCACATACAAAGATATTGTGTACGCAGAAAACTAAAAAATAAATAAATATTTAAAAATTCTCTCTCTCTTTAAAAAAAAAGAGGGATGGGGATGGAGCTCAGTGGTCAAGTACCCTTGGGTTTAATCTCTGGTGTGAAAAAAAAAAAAAAAGAGGTTCAAACACCTGCAGACTTGGACAGGAGCCCGGCCATCAGCTAGTCCAGTCACCTTTGGTTTTACATCAGTGACACAGGTACTACTGAGTAGATTGGCTGTGTAAGGTGTCATAGAGTAAAGATATGAATGCTTTTGATGTGGAAAGTGCAAAACTCCCAACTCCAAAGGCTTGACGTGAAGTTTGAAATGTGACCAGGAGGGATGTGACCCAGAGCAGGGGACACTGGGAAAATGTAATGAAGATGATATTTCTGCAGGTGTCTTGGCTCAGGACTGAGCACTCCCTGTCCTCCTTGCTGCTTCTTCTGGTGTCTTAGATCCTGTTTCTGAGAAGAACACAGGCAAATTCCCCAGAGAAGGAACAGAGTCTGCCTTCTTCCCCCTCCATCTTTGTATCTATAAATCTTTCCTTACAAGGCTCATTCAGCTCATATGCCACCTCCTCCAGGAAGCCTCCTCTGATTTTTTCACTCATATCCCCTCACCCTCAACTGGTACTCATTTCTCCCTCCTGTAAATCCCTCCAGACATCCCCACTCCTGTTAACCACTTCTCTTTTTTACTCCATATAAATAGAATGAAAAATATAGTGGGCAAACTGTAGCCTACTGGCTAAATCCAGCCTGCCCCCTATTTTTATAAGAAAAGTTTTATTGGAACACAGTCTCACTCATTCCTTTATGTATTGTCTATAGCTGCTTTTATGTATAATGGCTGCTTTTATGTATAAGTTGCAAAGGAGACCTTGTGACCCACAAAGCCTCAAACATTTACTCTCTGTCCCTTTATAACAAAAGTTTGCTGACTCTTGTTAAAATTCATAGTCTTTACTGAGTGCGACAGTGCTGCCAAGTGCAGTGGCACACACCTGTAATCCCAGCAGCTCAGGAGGCTGAGGCAGGAGGATCATGAGTTCAAAGTCAGCCTCAGCAACTTAGTGAGGTCCTAAGCAACTCAGCAAGAGCCTGCGTCTAAATAAAATATAGAACAGGCTGGGGATGGGGCTCAGTGGTTAAGTGCCCTGGATTCAATCCCTGGTACCAAAACCCCAAACAAACAAAGCAGTACTTATTGCTAAGTACTAGTGATCTTGTCTTTTATGACCTAGGATATCGTGTGTTTGTGCTCATGCTTTGGGTATGCCTGTAAAGCCTCAGGTGGATTTCAGCATGTAGCCGGCATGTGCCATTTTATTATTTTCAGAGCAGGTTCCATCTAAAAAGATTTGAGGCTGGGGGTGTAGCTCAGCGGTAGAACGCTTAGCATGCACAAAGCCCTTGGTTCAATCCCCAGCGCCAAAAATAAATAAATGAAATGAAATGGAAAGGCTTGCCCTCATGCTCTTTGGAGATAGAGAGGCTGAGAGAGAGTGTTTTGTTGTTGTTGTGACAATTAAGTTTGGCTTTGTCGGCAGCACGCTGGCACAGACTATAGAGAGACCCCTTGGCCACCAAGGTCTTCCCTGAAACAGGAAGGCGGAGCCTCCTTGGACACTGTCCACTGGGGGTTGGCTGTGAGTCTTGCCAGAGGCAGTACTGATGGGGGCTTTTTTGGAGCCAAATGAAAAGCAGCCTGTTTGACGGATTGCACTTCATTTCCTCTCAGCCTACGGGGGTGATCAGTGCCCTGGGCTCCCAACCTCACATCCCGTCCTCCCCCGGGGCGGAGGCCAGTCTGTCTTCCCAGCCTGCCCCAGAGGAGCATTGCTGGGTGGCCAGGGCAGGGCTGCCTACCCATCCCTGGCCCCTGGACCCCTGGCATCTGGGGCAGAAGCAACATCAAAGCAGGGATTGGCCAGCTCCCACCCCAAATGCCAAGCAGGCCAGGCTCAGGGAGCACTTGGGGGTGTGACGAATCCCAGCCAGTCTCCAGCTCACGTCCCCGGGCCAGTCTGCCTTGGGCCTTGCCCCACCATGACGCGCCCATCATTCAGCCTGGCTCATCTGCTCACCCTTTCGGGACTGCTGTGCTACTCGGCTTGCTGCCTGGGTGAGTCCTGTGTGCATGCGCCTGCTCTGATGGTTTTGGGAAAAAAAAAAAAAAAAAGACCTGGAGAGCAGACCTACCCTGGGATCTCTGAGAAGACTTCAAAATGTTAAACTTCTCAGCCAGTGTTGGGATTGCAGGGTGAAGGGGGTTGGCAGCGGGGTGGGTGGGGACTCAACATAGGTGCCCATTTTTTTGTGCTCTTCTTGTGACCTTGACTTCAGGGTAGCAGGCTGGTAGCTGCTGTTCCCTCGGCTTTGAGATGAAATTGTGTTCTGCAGTCCAGGGTCCCCTGGTATAAGGTGGCTGGGACGCTCTCCAGGCCAGCTAGTTTAGGTAACATGGCTTAGAAGCAGCAGCCACCAAAACACCAAATCATTTTCTTTGTAGGTTGCGTCCCCACCTGTCCCCTGGGCCCACTCTGGGTGCGAGTCATAAATAGCAAACTTCTACCCTGGTCCTTTCAGAGAAGTTCCTACTTTTAGGAAGAGATTTGCGCTTTAAGGCTTGTGTGGTGCGTGCAGGGGCGGGGAGGGTGGGTGAAGGAAAGTTCTAGGGTTCAGCCTTTTGTGGAATATGTACATCATGGGAAACTTTGGGCAGACTAGTAGCCAGTTAGTCTGATAACTTGTTGGTTGCTGAGATGTCCAGACAACTATTGGGGCACCAGGTGATGCTGTGGAGGGTGTCACAGGTGCCCCCCACCATCTCTCATTCATCCCCAGGCCTTCTTCTAACACCAGTCTCGGGAGGCAGGTGAAGGCCCCAAAGCAGGAGGGGGAGAAGGAGGCAAAATGTGCAGCAGTCCACCAACTGGACAAGCAGCGGCAGAATCTCAGCATGTGGCTGCACTCACCATGTTTCACAACCTGCTAATGCAGGATGACTTCTGGGGTCGCTTCTTGCATTTGTTCTTTTTAGATATACATGGCAGTCGAGTGTATTCTATATACATGGAGTCTAACTTTATTCTAGTTAGGATCCCATTCTTGTGGTTGGACGTGGAGTTTCACTGGTCGTGTGTTCATATAGGAACCCAGGAAAGTCACATCCCATTCGTTCCACTGTCTTTCCTATTCCCAATCCCCTCCCCTCCCTTCATTCCCCTTTGTCTAATCCCATGAGCTTCTATTCTTCTATTCTTCTCCTTCCCCCTTATTATGTGATAGCATCCACATATCAGAGAGAACATTCAGTCTTTGTTGTTTTGGAGATTGGCTTGTTTCACTTAGTGTGATAGTCTCCAGTTCCATCCAGTCACCAGCAAACTCATAAAGTCATTCTTCTTTATGGCTGAGTTATATTCCATTGTGTATCTGTAAAATTTTCTTTATTCATTCATCTATTGAGGGACACCTAGTTTGGTTCCATAGCTTAGCTATTGTGAATTGTGCTGCTATAAACATTGATGTGGCTGTGTCACTGTAGTGTGCTGATTTTGAGTCCTTTGGATATGGACTGAGGACTAGGATAACTGAGTCAAATGGTGGTTCCATTCCAGGGTTTCTGAGGAATCTCCATACTGCTTTCCAGAGTGGTTGCAAGAATTTGCAATCCCCACCAGCAATGTTTAAGTGCATCCTTTTCCCCCACATCCTCGCCATTATTTATTGTTACTTGTATTCTTAATAATTGCCCTTGTGACTGGATTGTGTTTATTTTTAAAAAGGACCTTGGAGATGGGGTGGCTCAAATCCCTTGTGGTACAGATCAGGAAACTGAGTCTCAGGTTGAGGACGGGAATTGCACCATATCACACATCCGCCTGCACCCAGATCACACTCTTTGACACAAGTCCCTACATTTCCAAGAGTAAGTTGGTGTGAGTCTCTTTCCAAGGATACCCCTCAGTTTCTCAAGATGAAACAGGAGATTGACTACTGAGTCCAAAGGGCAAAACTAGCATGAACCATGGGGGGGGGGGAACCCCCAAACACTTGCCAAAAGCCTGCATTAGAAAATTACCCATAATTTGTAAATGCAGTGGCCACGTGTGATATGACTTTGGTGTCTTTAAGTGAGGTCAACCGTCCTGAAATTCTGTGACAGTTGGCTTTTTCAAGACAGCTGGCCGGGAGCTGAGCCCCGTGGGGCACTGGTTTTCTGCAGGCCCCTGTACATACACACACAATTGTTTCCATTACAACAGAGGCTTCTGGGGCTTTTCCAGACATGATTCCAACAGAGACAGCAATAGTCCTGAGAGAGACCCACAGGCCACTCTCGGGACACCAAAATAGACATGTGAAGTCCTGGCTTAGCTGATGGGGAGGGTGGGAAGGGGGAGAGCTGCTCCCACACAGGGCCACCTGATGGAAATATTCTGAGCTGGAATGAGCTGTAAATAAACTAGACTGGGCTAAAAACAAACAGCTCCAGGGAGTTGGGGGAGGGGCAGGGATCAATGGCCTTCACCTGCTGGAAATGAAGTGGGTCAAGGGGGAAAGAGGGAGGAGGGATTCAGGGGAGGGGGGGGTCAGGGTGGAGTGGGGGTGCAGGCAAAGCAGATGCCTTTGCAAGAAAAGCAACTGATAATTTATGGTCCCTGAAGAGGTCTCCAGTTTCCAGGAAGAAATCAGAGAAGCAAAGTGACTGCCTTAAAATGATACAAGATGTTTCATCAATGGGAGCCACACAGGGTCCTGGGGGAAGAAAGGAAGGCACTGGAAGCCGTATATGGTCTGGAAAAATAAATGAGTGCAAATTAGCTGAGGGGGAACTGCCAGGTTCTCAGGTGATCCTAGCCGGGAGAGATTTTTTGCAGAAAGCTAAAGCCTTACCCAGCCCTTAGCCATGTGCAGAGGCAAAAGAGAGACTGCCGAGAAACTGTACTGTTGGTATACATCTGCCACCTTCTCCGTGGGCCCCAGGTAGGGTGGCAACTGAAGCTGCCCACTCCTAGTTAGTTCACACTTTAGGAAAGAACTGGCATCAATGTCAAGGTCAAGAACAACCTTCTGCTGGTCACCGTGGCACATGCCCTCATGCCAGTGATTTGGGAGGCTGAGGCAGGAGTTTTGTGGGTTCAAAGCCAGCCTCAGCAAAGTAGCAAGGCCCTAAGCAACTCAGTGAGATGCTATCTCAAAATATAAAAAAGAGCTGGAGATGTGGCTCAGTGGTTAGGTGCCCCTGTGTTCAATCCCCAGGACCAAAAGAAAAAGAAGAACTTACCTCTCACCACTAGGGAAAAGCAGCCGGGGTCAGCTGGAGCAGACCCAATGCTCACAGCTTGCCACATGTCCCCTTTCAGCATGTGAACAAATTCCCAGAACACCAACCTCAGGCAGCACCATTCCATGACCTTGAGGGATCCGCATGAAAACAGGAGCACCCGAAAACCATAACCAAACACAGACAAAAGCATGGCTGTCATCCAGCCACGAAAATGAACGTTTCCCCATCCTTGCAAATATGAGTAACGGCTGCTTTTCACCCTTTGCAGATTTAGTCTCCTCTTCTAGGTGAGAATTCAGGTGCCTGATCAGAGTAGCCCTTGCTTCCTGACAGCATTCAATCCAAAGCAAAGCCAGACTTTTGCTTCTCATGGTCTCCCTCCAAATCACCTAGCAAAACCCCAAATCCTAGAATAAATTCTTTCTAACACTCTCTTACTGGGATGCCTCCAGGGTCCTCTGATTGTGTGTACATCCTGTTGCAAGGACTCTGACAGCCCAACTTGGTTGGACTAGTTATATTCTCAGTGTTTTCTGGAGAACATTGATACAATAGTCTCTAGGGGTTGTTAGGAGCTCCTTGCCTCCCTCTCAGTCCCTGACCTTCATTTTGACCCATAGGAGTCATGGTATAGAGTTTATGAGGAAGAATTCAGAAACCAGACCGCCTGGGTTCAAGACTGGGTTCTGTCATTTTCTAGCTATAGGACGGGGCAAATTGCTTAGCTCATTGCTTTGGTTAACAGACCTGTAAAATGGGGTTGGAGATAATAATAGCAGTTAGTTCTCAGGGTTGTCTTGAGGATTAGGTAAATTTATACACACGAACTGCACTGCCTTTTAGTGTTTGTCATTAATATTATTAGTTCAGATGGGCACGGTGATACACGCCTGTAATCCGAGCAGTTTGGGAGGCTGAGGCAGGAGGATCATTGGGAGGCTGAGGCAGGAGGATTGCAAGTTCAAAGCCAGCCTCAGCAACTTAGAGAAGCTCTAAGCAACCCAGGGAGACCCTATCTAAAAATAAAGTATATTAAAAAGGAGTGGGGATGGGGGTGTGGCTTCGTAGTTAGATGCCCCTGGGATCAATCCCTGGTGTGTGTGTGTGTGTGTGTGTGTGTGTGTGTGTGTGTGTGTGTGTTATTAGTTCAGCAAACATTTGTGGAGCACCTACTGTCTACGAGGTACACTGTTAGAGACTGGTGATGAAAATTGACTCCTGTCCTCCTGGAAAGTACAGTTTAATCAAGAAGATATAATGAAACAGTTTCCTCTGTGAGGAAGAACTAACATGACCATAAACCCAGAGAAAAACATAGCAGGGTAGAAGGGCCACTCAATCTTGGCCTGGGAAGTGAAGAGAAGCTTCCTGGTGATAAGACTGAAAACTGAGTAAGATCTGCCTATGTAGTGGGAAACCTGAAAACGTTCTGCGATGTCACAGATTCTGTTATGGGGTAAAGGTAAGGGTCCCATTATAAGACTAAAACTGGGAACAAAGTCACGTGTGGTGGCACACTCCTGTAATCCCAGCAACTCCAGAGGCTGAGGCAGGAGGATTGCAAGTTTGAGGTCAGCCTGGGCCACTTACTGAGACCCCCATCTCGAAATAAAAAATAAAAAGGGCTGGGGGTTTAGCTCAGTGATAGAGCTCCCCTGGTTTCAATTCCTGGCACAAAACAAAACAAATAAAAACCTCAAAAAAACTAGGAACTAAAAATTCATTCATTTTGGCAATTTTGAATATTGTTTCTATTTACTTGTGTTTTGGTGAAAAAAAACCCTACCTTTCTGTTGGTAAATAGCTAGGAGTGACATTGTGGGGCCATAGCCTATGTGTATGCTTACCTTCAATAGAAAATACCAAGCACTTTTCTGAAGAGGTTATACCAACTTACATTCCCCCCAGCCAATGGATTACAGTTCTGGCTGTTTTACATCCTTGTTTGTGGCATCTCTTCTTCCAGATAAGAATATGGCACGTGCCTGTAATCCCAGTGTCTCAGGAGACGGAAGCAGGAGGATGGCAAGTTCAAAGCCAGCCTCAGCAACTTAGCAAGGCCCTGAGCAACTTAGTGAGACCCTGTCTCAAAATAAAAAAATTTTAAAAGGGGCTGGGGATGTGGCTTGGTGGTTAAGCATCCCTGGGTTCAATATCCTGGTTCAAAAAAAAAAAAAAAAAAGGAATTAAAGTCCCCAGTCAGAGTAGCCCTTGCTTTCTGACATTATCCAATCCAGAGCAAAGCCAGACAGCCAGACTTTGCTTCCTGGTAGTCTCTCCCATTTTCATTTAGCTATTCTGGTGGGTGCTAGCAGTATCACCCCAATGAACCTCACCATTGCCCACCATTACCCACTCATCAATAGACGAGTAGATTGTGGTCTAACCACATGGAACTTCATTCAGCAGTAACAACTGCGAAAATCAGTCTGGATGGCTCCTGGGTTAAGCAAGAGAAGACAAACGGAAGAATTCATAATGTACGGTTCCATTTATATAGAATGTCTAAATGAGCAAGATGAATCCCCGGTGTTAGAATTCAGGATGGTGGTGGGTGAGGAATACAGATTGGAGCGTGAGGGGCTCTGGAGAGTTCTATTTCTTGATCTGGGTGCTGGTTTCTAGAGTCGGTTCACTTCACAGAAATCTACTGGGCTGTAACTTGTGATCTGCCTTCTTTTTGTAAAGCATGCTTCAACACTGAATGTGTGCTGAGATCGAACACTGGCAAGATCCTACCTGAAAATCAAGCTCTGCAGGTCCTCAGGCTTGGGATTAGGACACCCAAGTATTGAGACACTATACTATGACTCTTTATGAAATAGGTGATCCTTGTTTATAAGTGGAGTCTGAATTTTATTTTATTTTTATTAGGTCTTTATAGTTATATATAGAAGTTGGGTTCATCCTGAAGTCTGTGTTTTAATCATGGGTCCAAGTACCTTGAAATCAATTAACCCTACCTCCAGCCCTTGCTGCCTTCCTGTCTGAATGATTTCCTCCTTAGTATCAAAGTTTTAAACAAACACTTCCTTCTCCCCAACTAATGGGGACACAACTCCTCAACTACCATCCGAACTTGGCATTCCTTGCCACATCTACAAAATCTACAAGTTAATCTCAGTAGAAGGAGAAACTGTCCTCCACTGGCTGGTGGGAGTGTAAGTCAGTATAATCTCTTTGGAAAATCGCTTGTTATTTTCTATTAAGAGATGAACATAGACGTGAACTATAGCCCAGCAATTTCGCTCCTAGGTATTTACCAACCTGTGAAGAAGGATCTTACAATGGTCACCATTTTAATTCAGCAAAAGCAATACAAGGGCTTGTCAAGTAGCAGACAGGAGTTCTGCTCCCATCTCTAACAGGTTAGAAATTAGATTTGGAAGTCTGGGGTGGCCGCATGGGTCTCCCTTGGGTGTGCTGGGCATGGCAGAGAGCCTAGCTCGGAACTCACGCTAACGAGCAGCAGTTTTCTTCACACAGCCCTTCCTGGCCTGGATCAGAAGAAGCGTGGCAGCCACAAAGCATGCTGCCTGCTGACACCCCCTCCGCCCCCACTGTTCCCACCACCGTTCCTCAGAGGGGGCCGAAGTCCGGTGAGTACATGGGGCTTGGGAGAGCAGAGAATTCCAGGCTTCTGGATGCCCACTCTGCACCCCACCCACTCAACAGGGGCTGCCTGCAGACTCTGTCTATAGAGTCAACCCTTTATTCTCACTCTGAGTTTGAACCCTAAAATGGACACTTTGCAGTTTCTGGAATGTATTTGTCCTCCTGCTGTCTTAAATCAGCAATGTTGGAGAGGGTCTTCTCCCATGGGAGTTGAATTTGGCAAAATGTCCCAACTTTTTTTTTTTTTTTTAATGAATTTCTGGGTTCTCATCAGCTATTCAGATATGGATTTTCCCTTTACCTTTTTCTTCTCCCCAAGCATTTACAAAAATCCCTGGGGGATGGGGGAATCTGGATAAAACGGGGGGCAGGGTATAGAAGGGGAATAGACAGAGGTTGTATAACAGGTACCAAAACACACTTCCCGTGTTCTAGAGCACGGTAGGGACATCCTACCACAATTTATGATATATTTCAAAATATCTAGAAGTGGAGAGCCCAAAAAATTCCAACTTGTAGAAATGATGAAGGTCTGAGGAGACCACAACGCTAATTACCCTGATTTGATCATGACACATCATAGACACGTATGGAATTATCATAGTGTATCATAAATATGTACAAACATGATGTGCCAATTAAAGGACAAGAAACAATAAATTCCCTTCCACAGCCCATGACTTATGTAGACCATGTTCATGGAGTGACACAGGAAAGAGCCTTTCTGTAGCCACACTGAGGGGTGACAGGGGACAGATTTGGGGAAGAGAGGAAAGAAGCAGGACTCAGGATTTAGAAGACATCCATCCAGGGCATTCTAAGGACTTGAGATACTCAGATCTTTCTGGAATCTCCTAGACCTATACTGTCCAAAATCATAGCCACTAGCGCTCTGAGCACTTTCAGTGTTCACACTGAGATATGCTGTTTATGTTAAACATAAACAGGAGTTTGTGTATGCACTGAATAAAATATATACATGTGTTGGATGAACTTCTCTTTAAAGGCCTGTTGGGTATGTTTAGTCTATAATACAATTAAATTCTGAGGATTCTTGGTTGAAATAAACAAAGAAACAGAAGCGTGAAGCCCTCATATGAGGAAAAAAAGATTGCAAAATGCCTCATTAGTCACTTTTTATACTGAATATATGCTGGAGTGATAATATTTGGGGTCTGTTGGGTTAAATTAAACATATCGTAAAATTAACTTCACTTGTTTGTTTTTACCTTTTCAAAAGGTAAAAAATGTGGCTACCAGAAAAATTTTTAAAGTACAATGTAGTTCTCATTATGTTTCTTTTGGATATTTCTTTTGCATTAAATTTCTTTTAGACACTCCCATCCTAGACATGGGATAAGGTCCTGAAATGAGCTTCCTAACTCCATCCACAGTGGCCTTGCTAGCTCAGTAACCCATTCGTGCCGGGTGGGTCTCAAGAGCAGATGAGAGAACTGAAACTGGTGGCCCCAAAGGTCAACCTCTCAGAACACATACTGCTGTGTCAGGGAACTGCCAGTCTTGGACCTGACCCTGGAGTAGAGCTGTGTCCAGGGAGGTGACCCTTCCTCTGTCCCCCAAGTCCGACTTCTAACACTGTGTTGCTTTGCACCGAAGCTTCTCTCTCCAGACATGAAGAATCTCCTCTTGGAACTCGAGACCACACAGTCCCCATGCATGCAGGGCTCTCTCGGCTCCCCTGGACCCCCCGGCCCCCAGGTGGGTGCCTACCAGACCCCTCCCTCCTGCCTTCTGTTCCAACCCAGGGGAGCCCCCTGGGTAGAGTCTCATGGTGTCTGCCCCTTTTAATGTGATGTGGAAAATTAGTTTTCTTTCTCTTCCTACTTGCCACTCCAGAGCCACCTGGGTGAATTCTCAGCTCCCAGCTGTGATTTCCTCATCTATGCCAGGGGGGATAATAATCATAATAATTGCCCCTTCGAGAGGAAAATAAAATGAAAGGAAGGAAAATAAAGAAACAAACCAAAAGATGTTTTTTTTTAGTTGCTTCTGTCATACTGGATTTTGGGGGATCAAGAGAGATACTGCCCCTATGGATGTGGCTATGATTTAGTTAGCACTGGACAAACCCTTGATGATAATGGGCCTCATGTGACCATTGGCCCTATCTGTGGGCCCAGAAGTGTCTGCATTTAGTACAGAAAAGTGGGAGTAAGAGGAGCTTCCTTGGGCCCCTGGTATTGCTACCAAGAAGCCCACCTCTCCTCACCGAGGGTGGTGGGGAAAGTGAGGAACAGGCAAACTGCTAGAGAAAGAATTTTCTAGACAAACAAAAGATTACCCTCCAGAAACCCTCTCTCAGATTCCTGCTCCTCTGGCCTGCCTCAGAGAGGGGCTCCATCACAGAGGGACACCCAGCTCAGCCCCAGTGAGGTTCTCTTGGGTTCTCCATACTCTCTGAGCTGGGAAGCTTCAAAAATTCCTAAGGCCTATATTTTTTTCCCCTTTGAGATTTTTATTTGACTGGTCCAGTGTGTGAACTGGGCTTTGGGATTTTTTTTTTTTTTTTTGAAGATTCCCCAGGGGATTGGAATGTGCTGCTAGGTCTGGGAATCACTGGCTGAGGGGGCTAGGCTCTTGGTGGTTTTGACAAGTTTCAGAGAAATCCCATTTCTCTTTTCTTTTTCTTTCCTTTTCTGTTTTTTGTTTTGTTTTGTTTTCTATCAGGGATTGAACCCAGGGGATGCTTAACCACTGAACCACATCCCAGCCCTTTTTATATTTTATTTAGAGACAGGCATGCCTAGTGAGAAATCCTATTTCAAACAGTCTCTACTTTGTGCATGTTCACCTGCAGATCCTAGGGCTGTTGCAGGTGCCCGAGGGATTTTGATGGGTTTCCTGTAGTCCTGGGGAATTTAGAAAATAGTGACTGAGCACCCCACAGACATGTAAGCAGAAATCCGTTGCAATTTTGCTGTGGACGTGCATTGCATTGGGGCAATGGGTTCTAGAGCCCCTGAGGTGGAATCACCTCACTCCTGTGGCTGACCATGGGGACAGAAATGTGAGTTTACTTGCTCGCATTCTTCACATTTTAAAAAGAACACCTTTGCCAGGCATGGTGGCACAGACCTGTAATCCTCCTAAACTCAGAAGACTGAGGCAGGAGGATTGCAAGTTTGAGGCCAGCCTCAAGAACTTAGTGATGCCCCTTGGCAACTTAGTGAGACCCAGTCTCAAAATTAAATAAATAAATAAATAAATAAATAAATACAAAAGAGCTGGAGATGTGGCTCAGTGGTAAAGCACCTCTGAGTTCAATCCCCTATCCAAAAAAAAAAAAAGTGAAAGAGAATTTTGCTGCTCCAGGTGGGAAGGTTGATCTTGGTACCCACAGATCCACCACGGGGTATTCTAAATCAGCAGCTACTGGGTACAAAACTTAACTTCCCTCTTGTCAGTGCCCCCCAGAAGCTTGATGTGAGTAGCTGAAAAGACATGAGAGATGGTAAAGGGTCGTGTTTTCAGCTACCAGGATTTCTGCCAATCTCTTTAGTTATTCTCAATAAACTCTCAAGAGTTTTCAGGCAATCAAAAGGCTCCAGGGTAAAAATCACAGTCACTGAGTGTGGATGGGTTAGCAATTGCTGGAAACACAGTGCCAAGAAAGTTAAGGAGGAGGAGGAATAGAGAGGGGAAGGGGTTGTAGGGCAGAAAGGGGCCTTGGGCGCCGCACATCCACACAGGGATCAAGGCTGCTTCTGTAGGAGCCCCTCCCCCTCCCTCCCTTTCCCCCTCCCTCCCCAGCAGCCCCGCCTTGGTTGGGTATATTCTTTCTTCATTCTTGTCTTAATTGTATAGGGTCCACCCGGACTTCCTGGCAAGACAGGACCAAAGGGAGAAAAGGTATGAGCCACTCTTTTCTTCAACCCACCTCTCCTTGGTAATTCCAGCTTGATTTCTGGGGAGTGCCACTGAGATTTTACCAGTTGAGACCATTCTGCCTAGAGTGTGTGAGGACGGGCCCTGATAATGGGCCCAGGGCACACTGGTATATTCTGATTTGGCCCACTAGCCCCACAGGGATGCTGTGACCAGCCAAGTGACTGGTCAACAGGCTGAGCCACACTGCCACGACCAGTCATCCGCCTTAGTAGGCCTTCTGCTGCCAGAACCTCTCTCCCAGAGCTGCTTCTGTTTACCTGTCTTCTCCATCCACAGGGGGAGCTTGGCCGACCAGGAAGGAAGGTATGGACCCTCCTGTTTTGTGAGCACCATCCGGGCAACTGTGCTGCACATGCGTGTGAGTGTGTGTGCACTCCTGGGGCGAGGAAGCAGTGACACACTCCTGTGTGGCTACCAGGACCCAGGTGGACAGTGATGGTGTGGCCATCCTGATAATGACAAGTAGCCTTGCTCATTCTCCTGGTCCTCAGTCAGGAGCTGGAGCCTGCCAAAGCCAGGCATTCAGACTTCTTCCAGGGGTTGACAAGCCTGGCCAAATTGCCCTCAGGCTCAGGCTACCTTATCTATTTGATGAAACTGGAATAAAATGACCGAGCAGATAGAAACAAATGGCTTTTGCTCTTTGGCTCCAGAAAAATGGGAGTTACTTAAGGTCATGGTGCCTCTGTGTGAACCCAACGTGGGTTATCAAGACTCTCATGAGTGTCAAGGAGGAGCAAAGCAGCAGACTTTTTTACTAGTTGGGATCAGTGGATATTGGCACTGAAACCCCAGGTCTTGTGAATGAAAAAAGGGTAAAATGTTGGCCAAGAAAGATGCCCAGGACTCTAAATAGAGATGACTCTATTCCTGGTGAAGTGTTTTATTCAAATGGTTTTGCTGTCAACAGAAGCCTTAACCAGATGTTTGCAAGGTACCGATGACAACGCCAGCCACAGCATAGTGGGCTGAGCAGGGTTCTGGAGTGGTCCCCTGCTAAGAGAGAACAAGGGCCATGTTGATTGATGATATCTGCCCCGGGTGTGGGAGGCAAGAGTAGGAATCAGTGCACATGCTAGTCTTTGGCTTTTCTGCACCCTTTAATCTCTAGCTAACTGTGAAATTAGCCAGTGGGTACAGAGGTCCAGATAGACCCCGAGCCCATTCTCCAATTGATTCTTGTAGTCCTTGGTTTAGGTTGGATTTCGTAGAAGCAGGCAGAAGTGAATAAATTATTAAGGGAGTTCTCACCAGAGGAGGTGTCTGGAGAGAGCGGGAGAAGCCGAACAAAGATATAGTATAAGGTGAAGTCCAGCCTTAGTAGCCTGATCCTTAGGGAAGCTTTGGAGCATGGATTGCCTGATGGTTGGTCCTGCCTTGAGGTAAGGGATCTGGACCATTGGCTGCAGAAAGAGCCAATGTAAATGACTGGACAGTTCCAATTGCCCAAGCACAAACTCCACAGTTGCAGGTTGCAGAGAGGAATTGTTAGCGAGAAGTGTAGCCACGGGGGATGGGCACCCTGAACAGGTAAAAAGACCTTAAGACTCGGGTACCAACAGCATCTGCTGCTGCTCCCCATGCTAATGCTATCTTATCCCACAGCCCATCCTTGTGGAGAGAACCCACTGGAATGCAGGAGACATTAGGGTAGGTAGGTGGAGGTGACAGAGATTGGAAAGCAAAGACATTCAGACTTTCTTTCCCACTATCCTCCACTCCTTGGGTAAAATAAAAAAACTGTTTGGTGATACTCTATGACATCAAGGATTTAACCTACACCTAAGTCCCAACATTTTAGGGCCTCGTCTTTAAAGGGCGAGGCTGAGAATCTGGGGGCCATGTTTGGAGGCCCCATTTTCATTCCTGGATCCCAGATATTCTTGGAAGGAAGGAAACACTTGCCCACTTTTTCCTGACTTTTGTTCTTGGTTCTTGAAGGGTAGACCTGGCCCCCCAGGTGTTCCTGGCATGCCTGGGCCTGTTGGCTGGCCTGGCCCTGAAGGACCCAGGGTAAGTGTCCTGTGCTGTTGGGGCTCATGTGGTATCCAAACAAGAGCGGGGAGGGAAGATGGCAGCAGTCCTAGCATACGCTCAGTGAACCACGTCCTCAAGAGAGGAAGAAGAGAGCCTGAGGACTGTCCACAGGTCCCCAAACATTTCCTCCTTCCCCTGGCCTGCAGGCCTTGCTGCATGCAAAGGCTTTGTTCCTGTGGGAGGAGAAATGGGGGACTGTTCCCTTCTTCTACAGAGGCACGGTTTCTCCATTGTCTTTAAAAAAGTATGCTTTGGTTCTATGCTTTGGTTTCCCTGAGATGATCCAAAAGGGACTTGTGTCTGGGAAGCTCTTGCCGGTGGTGAGGATGGAGCAGGGAATGACAGCTTGGGGAAAGGAGGGTTGAAAGAGTTGTCAACTGGGAAGAATGGAAATCTTCAATCGAGAGAGAGATTGCCAAACGTTGATGAAACCCCCTTCCACAGAAAAGGTGGTGAATGCAAATACCCCAGCTTTGGTTTCTGTTCTTCTCACTGCCAGTCATAAACGACATAGACAGGGTGGGAGGCTCTGATTTAGAATTTTACCTGTAGGGGTAGATAGGTAAATGTCACCAACTGCTCTGATTCCCTCACTGACGATGCTATAGGAGTAGAAAACTGTTTCTAGTCCTGGTAGGGAAAGTCCTAAGGACATTTCTTTTAAAAATCCACTGCCCAGGGCTGAGCTGCCCAACATGGTGGCCCCTAACCACAGGTGGCTATTGAAATGTGTGACTAGTTCAACCAAAAGAACTGAAGGTTTCATTTTAATCCATCCAAATCTGAATTTTTAAAACCTTGACTCATTTTAGTCACTTGAAAACTTTCAGGTATGTTTGGAGCAACTTGAAGGTGTGGCTGCTTTTTCAACTATAAATTTTGTGAAATCTAAAACACAGGCCAAGTGTTTTGAATGAGAATTTAGCTCCTGAATTGGGACATTCCTTAAATGCAAAATACCCAACAGACTTTATTAAGTATTTTATATTTGCTACATGTTGAAATGAGAAATTAAATAAAATATATTGGCAAGATTAATGTCATCTGTTTAGCTTTACTTTTACTTTACTTTCCAGGTGACTTCTAAAAACACTTAAAATTCAGCATGTGGCTCACCTCGTATTTCTAATGGTTAGTCCTAGTTTAGAGTTTTCTTAGCATGGAAGATGCTGGAAGTTCCAAACAAATTGTTCTGAGGGGCAAGAAAGCCCATCCATAATTCTTAAGCCCCTGCCTCCATAGTATACATCCAGAGGTTGATGTTCACTATACACAACTGAAAACCTAGAGTGAGAATCTATGAAGATGCCTCAAATGCCCTCCATATGCAAAGAGCAAATCAGACAAAGATTTTTTTGTGTGTGTGTTAACACTTTGTCTTCTGAATCTCCATGCCCTCATGCTTTCTCCCCTACCCTCTTACAACCTTTTCTAGGAAAAGATCAAGTATCACCATTTACAACAGCTTAGTGAGTATTTAGTTTGGAGATCTGCTCTACCTTGGGCATTTTCATTTTATATTTAATCTCAAACCAGAATGGAAGGTGGAGTATGGAACCTTGGGCCCTTAGGAGGGGACAAGGGGTCATTTGGGGACCTCAGATTCACAATCCAACCCCCATGTTCCTGGTTCCATCCCAATCTTGCCTATGATTCTCTTGGTTCCGTTTCTCTAAGAAATGTCACTGTGTGTCTCCTTTCCCCTCTTGTAATTCACACAGGGAGAAAAAGGTGACCTGGGCATGATGGGCTTGCCAGGGTCAAGAGGACCAATGGGCTCCAAGGTCAGTGTGCGGTCCAGATGGATATCCCCAGATCATCTCACTAAGACTCTAGAGCAACTGCTGTCCTCAGAGATGGGAAAAGGGCAGAGTCACCATCCTGGGCTGCAGAATGTCATAGATATTAGAGAGCCAGTGACGGGCGCTAGTCTTTACAGGCCCTTTGTGGGACATCGTGCCCTGAAATTCAGGGGCATAAGGATGCCATTCCTGCTGTTCTCCTGGCCTGTTAAGGTCAAGCCTCTGGACAACAGAACAGATGAAAACCTTTGTGCGATGAGGAAACCATGTTCTTCTGAGGCCTGGTCTAAGCACAATCTTCCGGGACATCTGTTGCAACCCCACTAAAACTTGCAATGTGATATGGAGACCCCTCAACACTACATTGGGGGACCCTTTCCATTCTCCCACCACACCCACAGGCCCTACAGAGCTGATGTTAAATGCACTTTCTGCTTTCTTTTAGGGCTACCCAGGATCCAGAGGGGAAAAGGTGAGTACTTGTCTCTGATGGCATCCCAGAGCCTGGTCTGGGTTACAGGCTCCACAGTTTGGTGGCGGACAGAGGACGGGCCCAGGCCTCTCATTAGTCACTAACTACAAAAGCCATTCCTAGATGTTCCTCTGTCCTTTGTCAGTGGACTGAGGAAGAGGTGAGGGGTCTCCTGAGGCAGGATAAGGGGCCGCTCGCAGTGGAGGTACACAGTATGCATGGGGATGCCGGAGGAAGGTGGCAGGTCTGTGTCCTCAGAGCAGACTTCTACCACCTGCCCTTCTCATCTGTCAAAACCAAAAAAAAAAAAAAAAGCCAGAAGGAACTTGAGAACAGACTTTCTTTTGGGATAAGAGAGGATCTAGGACCCAAGATTTTCTGTAAGTTGTGCTTCATTATTATGCATAAGTTTTTTTTTGGTCCAAACAGAAGGTGGTCACAAACCTTTCCTTTGCTGAGCAAACTACGCCACGTCTGTAAGCCTATGTCTTCGTTAAAATGAGGGGGTTGCCTTAGGGAGCTTTTCAGTGTGAAATGCTTCAATCCCCACCCTCCCCCTTGATATGAACTCATTGCCTCTCTCCTGTGGTTTCCTCCTAGGGATCCAGAGGTGAAAGGGGTGACTTGGGTCCCAAAGGAGAGAAGGTAAGAACGTAGAAATGCTAAACTGCCATGCAAGTAGCAGCTCCCAGCTCACCCCACCGGTAGACTGGATGGCGGATGGGACTGGCAGGCCTCCATCTTGGAAATGGGTGAACCAAGCTCAGCTTCTGCCCTTTCAAGAGTTATTTCAGAGGTGGTCATGAACTTTGTTGTTCTGTTCACAGGGTTTCCCAGGATTTCCTGGAATGTTGGGGCAAAAAGTAAGTACCCCAAAAAAGTGAAAATAGGTCTCAGTTAAAAAAAAAAAAAGAAAAAAAAGTTCTCTCCACACACAAGAGAGCCCCGCCCCTTTGTCCACCATGGAAAGCAAGTTTAACTGTGGAAGGTTCTGGTTTAGGGTGAAGAGCAAGTTTCACAGGGAGGAGAGGATGGCAGGGTGGTCTGAGACTTCCCTCCAGGCAGCAGCAGAAAAACAGCTTCCACCAGGTGGAGAGAGGTCCTTCTTTGTTTTTCCCACTTCTTGGAAGACTATGATGATGTTCAAGGGCAGGAACTTTGGGACAAGGGATTCACATCTGAGGTGCAGTGGTCAAGGCCCCTCTCAGCCCATAGGCTTCAGGGCAAAGTACAACCCTTTTTGGCTTCATGTCTCTGCAGCCTAAACTCTTCTTCTGTCTTCTTCAAAGTGCACAGAATTATTGTAATTGAATGACAGTAAACATTTTTAATTGTTGATTTTTTTTTAATTTAAAGAGATTTTATTTAAATAGTGAAATATTTAGTGGGTATCTTGCTTGGAACAAGGCCTTAATAAAAATGAAGTCAGGCTCAGGTAACTTAAAGAAAAATTAGTCAGCAAATAACAATAGAGTGGCATGCAGATAGAATGACATTTGTGAAGGTAGCAAATGACTGATAGATTTTTGAAAACTTTTGCTTAGGGTTAGGGTCTGGTTGCTAACCCTCGTTGCTAGGGAATGAAGAGACAAGGGACATACAAATGACCATTTAGAACTAACTCCTAAGCTGACAGTCATGCTGGAGCCTCATGTCATAAGGTATTGACATTGGAAACTGTTATTTTCGTCATTTTAATTTTTTTTATTTGTTATAATTAGTTATACATGATAGTAGAATGCATTTATGTACTTTGATATATCATACATAGATAGGCTATAACTTCTCATTTTTCTGAGTGTACATGTTACAGAATCATATTGGTTATATAGTCACATTATACATACATTAATAATTTCGGTTTCATTCTACTATCTTTTGTATCCCCACATCCCCTCCCCTCCCCTCCCCTCCTATCACTTCCCTCTACCTAATCTAAAGTAATGTCGTTCTTCCCTAGTGTCTCTCACCTTATCGTGAATTAGCATCCACATATTAGAGAAAACATTCGGCCTTTGGTTTTGTGGGATTGGCTTATTTCACTTAGCATGATATTCTCCAACTTCAACCACTTCCTGGCAAATTCCATAATTTTACTCTTCTTTAAATCTGAGTAATATTCCATTGAGTATATATATCACATTTACTTTATCCATTCATCTATTGAAGGACTCCCTAGGTTGGTTCCATATCTAGCTATTGTGAATTGAGCTGCTATAAACATTGATGTGGCTGCGTCACTGTAGTATGATGATTTTAAGTCCTTTGGGTATAAACCAAGGAGTGGGATAGCTGGGTCAAGTGGTGGTTCCATTCCAAGTTTTCTGAGGAATCTCCATACTGCTTTCCAGAGTGGTTGCACCAATTTACAGTCCCACCAGCAATGTATGAATGTACCTTTTTCCCCACATCCTCATCAACATTTATTGTTACCGGTATTCTTGGTGATTGCCATTCTGACTGCAGTGAGATGAAATCTTAGAGTAATTTTGATTTGCATTTCTCTAATTGCTAGAGATGTTAAACACTTTTTCATATTTGTTTATCAATTATATTTCTTTTTCTGTGAAGTGTCTATTCAGTTCCTTGACCCATTTACTGATTGGGTTATTTGATTTTTTTGGTGTTAAGTTTTTTGAGTTCTTTATATATCCTAGAGATTAGTGCTTTATTGGAGGTGCATATGGTAAAGATTTTCTCCCAGTCTGTAGGCTCTCTCCTCATGTTATTAATTGTTTCCTTTGCTGAGAAGAAGCTTTTTAATTTGAATCCATTCCATTTATTGATTCTTGATTTTACTTCTTGCACTTTAGGAGTGTCGTTAAGGAAGTCAGATCCTAGGCTGAAGTGGTGAAGATTTTTTTTTTAATATTTTTTTAATTGTATTTGAACAAAATCTTTATTTATTTTTATGTGGTGCTGAGGATGGAACCCAGTGCCTCACAGGTGCGAGGTGGGCGCTCTACCGCTGAGCTACAGCTCCAGCCCCGTGGTGAAGATTTGGGTCTATTTTTTCTTCTATTAGGTGCAGGGTCTCTGTTCTAGTGCCTAAGTCTTTGATCCACTTTGAGTTGATTTTTGTGCAGGGTGAGATACAGGTTTCATTTCATTTTGCTACATATGGATTTTTAGTTTTGCCAGCACCATTTGATGAATAGGCTATCTTTTCTCCAGTGAATGTTTTTGGCACCCTTGTCTAGTATGAGATAACTATATTTATGTGGGCTTATCTCTGTGTCCTCTATTCTGTACCATTGGTCTACAAGTCTATTTTGGTGCCAGTACCATGCCATTTTTGTTACTATAGCTCTGTAGTATAGTTTAAGGACTGGTATTGTGATGCCTGCAGCTTCACTTTTCTTGCTAAGGATTGCTTTAGCTATTCTGGGTCTTTTATTTTTCCAAATAAATTTCATGATTGCTTTTTCTATTTCTCTGAAAAATGTCATTGGGATTTTAATAGAATTTGCATTAAGTCTGTATAACACTTTTGGTAGTATGGCCATTTTGACATTATTAATTCTGCATATCCAGGAGCATGGGAGATCTTTCCATCTTCTGAGGTTTTCTTCAATTTCTTTCTTTAGTGTTCTATAGTTTTCATTATAGAGGTCTTTCACCTCTTTCATTAGATTGATTCCCAGGGGTTTTTTTTTGTTTTGTTTTGTTTGAGGCTACTGTGAATGGAGTAGTTTTCCTAATTTCTCTTTTAGTGGATTCATTGCTAATATATAGGAATGTGTTTGATTTATGGGTGTTGATTTTATATCCTGCTACTTTTGCTGATTCATTTATTAGTTCTAGAAGTTTTCTGGTGGAAGCTTTTGGATTTTCTAGCTATAGAATCATGTCATCAGCAAATAGTGATAGTTTGAGTTCTTTTTTACCTATTTGTATCCCTTTAATTTCTTGTTTTGTGTAACTGCTCTGGCTAGAGTTTCAAGGATGATGTTGAATAGACATGGTGAAAGAGGACATCCTTGTCTTGTTCCAGTTTTTAGCGGGAATGCTGTTAATTTTTCTCCATTTAGAATGATGCTGGCCTTGGGTTTAGCATATATAGCTTTTACAATGTTGAGGTATGTTCCTACTATCCCTAGTTTTTCTAGTGTTTTGAATATGAAGGTGTGCTGTATTTTGTCAGATCCTTTTTCTGCATCTATTTAGATGATCATATGATTCTTATTTTAAGCCTATTAATATGATGAATTATGTTTTTGGATTTCCATATGTTGAACCAACCTTGCATCCCTGGGATGAATCCCACTTAGTCATGATGCACTATCTTTCAAATGTTTTTGTATGCAATTTACCAGAATTTTATTGAGAATTTCTGCATCTATGTTCTTCAGGGATATTGGTCTGAAGTTTTTTTTCTTTGATGTGTCTTTGTCTGGTTTTGGTGTCAGGGTGATATTAGCCTCATAGAATGAGTTTGGAAGGGTTCCCTCATTTTTCTATTTCATGGAATACTTTGAGGAGTATTGATGTTAATTCTTCTTTGAAAGCCTTGGCTAAGAGAACTTGGCTAAGAGTCCATCTAGTCCTGGGCTTTTCTTGGTTGGTAGACTTTTGATGGCATTCTATTCTATTTCATTACTTGAAATTGATCTGTTTAAATCGTGTATGACCACCTCATTCAGTTTGGGTAGGTCATATGTCTCTAGAAATTTGTCAATGTCTTTGGTATTTTCTATTTTATTAGAGTATAAATTTTCAAAATACTTTCTAATTATCTTCTATATTTCATATGTGTCCATTGTGATATTTCCTTCTTCATCTTGTATTTTAGTAATTTCAGTTTTCATTTTCTCTTCATTATCATGACCAGGAGTTTATCTACTTATTTATGTATTCAAAGAACCAACTTTTTGTTTTTTTAACTGTTTTTTTTTAATTTCAATTTCATTTCTGATTTTAATTATTTCCTGTCTTCTACTGTTTTGGTGTTGATTTGTTCTTCTTTTTCTAGGGCTTTGAGATGTAGGTATATATGACAGCGGAATGCACTTTGATTCATTGTACACAATTGCAGCACAACGTTTCATTTCTGGTTGCACAAGATGTAGTGTTGCACCATATGTGCAGTCATACATGTACCTAGGATAATGATGTTCATCTCATTCCACCATCTTTCCTGTCCCCATTCCCCCTCCCCATCCCTACCTCCCCTTTGCCCACAGTTTTTCCATTTGGAAACTGTTATTTTAACTTAAGTCTCAGAGTGCAAATGGACACTTAGTATTTTTAACATTTTAAAGTTTACCCTAAATATCATTTTCCATACCTAAATAATTTTTACCTGACAGTATCCAACCAGTAGAGCATGTTTCCATATTTTCAGTCATCATGCATTAATTTACTATGATTGTATTGCCACCTGAATTTGTCAGAAACTCTGCTTCTGCTACCCTAAATGGGGTGTTGCATTTTTAAAATTGTAATTTTATAAGCAAATTAAAGGAAACACTAAAAAGGAAAATTTTAAATTTTATTTTAAAAGATTTAGGTTAGGTATTCATCCAGTGCAACAATGAACATCAAAGAGTCATAAATTACTGTAAAATTAAGCATGACAGCTTCTCCAGTCTCTGCACCATTTACTAGACCTGGCGTTGAAAAGAATTGTCTTCCCTCCTTTGTGGTAGGCTGTTTTAAGACAGAGCTGATAAGGTAACCATAATTAAGTTTTAGGAGAGAAATTAGATCAAAAAATTACTGGCTGCTTTCAGTTGATAAAGAGAAGGGCCACACTGCCTTCTGACAATCTCTAAAAAAATTTATTTTGTTTATGCTGCTGTTTTCTCCTAGTTAAATAAAACCTCCCCTGTCCTTCTCTGGCCAGCTAAGGGAAATTGGCCCA